CCTTAGTCTCATTGTTTCCTTTATAGAACTTAGCAGAGAGGAGGATGGGAATGAAACCAGAATTAGTTGGGACCACCTGTCATTGGCTCTGGTGCCACCTGCTGGTGGCCTCCCTGGCTTCCGCCCTATAGTTCGAATGAGCACCAGACATCAAAGGTGGAAGCTTTTCAATTTTGGATAAAGGTATTTTTTGTACTTTTTCCCCACCCCACACCAGGAGCTCCCCAATATACAATCATATTGATTATATGATATCAGAGTTGTGCTACCAAAATATTGTGAATTGGGGGGAACGGCATTTTGCATCAAAGGAACATTACATGGGTGCTACAAGCTAGGGGCTTGCAAACAACTACTTGTTCCCCACAAGTAGGAGGGACTAGTAACCAGGCTTAATTAAATCGTGACCTGGAAGTGACCACTTAAGTAGGTGTTTGCAAAAACCAGCCATGTAGTACCCAGTTCATGTTCCTTGTATGGAAAAAGTTACTTCTCTTGTAAGATTATTAAAAAAAATAAAAATAAGAATAGGACATAAGTATCATAGGTAAGAGTGGAAACTGGCAAGCATTTTGGTGCACTAGGTTTTCCGGATCTAGTTCAAGGCTTTCTTTTGGCACCTCCACAACTTTGGTTAATGGGAGAAGATTAAGATCTGTAAAGCCAATGATTTTAAGAAAACAAATGTAGATCGATGGTTGCCTATTTAGTGTTGTTTACTTTAAAGGATTGGCTTGCATGTGGTTTTGCATACCTTTGTCAGGCAGGACCAGGGAAAGCCATGGAATAAGGCCTGGAGTAAATATTATCTCTCATGAGCTGGAACCAGAGACAGAGATGGGGTGGGGTTTGTGGCTTATGGGAAGGCCTGCAATGTGGGCTAGGCTGCACAAAGGCTGAAGGCCAGAGCTCTTCTTACACACCCTCCAAGTGTCCCTGTTTTCCAGGGACAGCCCTGGAATAAGGAAAACCACCCTGGCTTCTGATTTGATCCCAGAATGTCCCTATTTTCCCCATCAGCGGTGCTGCTCCCAAGCTCAGGGAGAATGAGCTGATGCTTGCCTGAGCAGTGGCGACAGCAGTGGTGGCTGCGATGGAGCATTTGGCTGCCACTGCTGGCCTCCTCCTTTGAGCAGCTTGTAGCAGCTGCTGGAGAGAGGGCGAGGAGGAGCAGAGGTTGCTGCTGCTGAGGCCCAGCATTGAGTGACACGCCGGCTCTGAGGGGCAGGCAGAGGGCATGGCTGCAAGAGCAGAGAGCAAGGAGTCTTGCTTGTCTTTTTTTAAAAACAACAACAACAACACGCTCTGTGCATCCATGTCAAATCTCGCCCTTTTTAAAATTTATTTATTGCAGTGTATTTTTCTTTTTTTGTAAATCTGTTGTTGTTGTTGTTTAGTCGTGTCCGACTCTTCGTGACCCCGTGGACCAGAGCACGCCAGGCACTCCTGTCTTCCACTGCATTGTAAATCTACCAAAGAATAAAATCAAATCAGGATTAAGGGGTTTTCTCAAGACGGTAGAGGGCATGTGTTCCATTGCTGTAGTGGCTCTCGTCCTTCTTGTGCTAGGAAATGCTCTGTGGGGGCGGGAGACAAAAATGGGGAGCTGAGGAGGAAGTTGGGGAGGGGAAGAAATACAGCTTTAGGAGCCAGGCAAAAATGTTCCTTTTTAACCAGGCCTTTTGTTGATCTGATTGACATCCTATGCCCTTTTAGAATGTGGGTTTTCTTGGAGGGGAGGGATGTTACTGGATTGTTGTTTTTATTTTGATTATATATGTTGTGGTTTTTATGTTGATCTTTTCTGTGAACCGCCCTGAGACTTCTGGTTGTAGGACAGTATATAAATTCACTAAATAATCATCATAACTCAGTTCAGCACACAGGTAAAGCCAAACCTATCAAATTTGCACCTGCTGAAACAACGTGCAAAGAGAAACACAGCTACCTTTCAAAATTCACATTTACCCTTGTGACCCTGTTGTTCAACCAAACGGTATTTACCAAAAAAATGCATACATTAGGTTGAAGTGTGCATGAAAATGAAGATATTGGCGAAAATAACATACAGTGGTACCTCAGGTTACATACGCTTCAGGTTATAGACTCCGCTAACCCAGAAATATTACCTCAGGTTAAGAACTTTGCTTCCGGATGAGAACAGAAACCGTGCTCCAGCAGCGCATCAGCAGCAGGAGACTCCATTAGCTAAAGTGGTGCTTCAGGTTAAGAACAGTTTCAGGATAAGTACGGACCTCTGGAATGAATTAAGTGCTTAACCTGAGGTACCACTGTACACAGATGCATTATATTAGGGGAAATTGCTTACAGAAATGTGCACTTTAGTCAAAGCTGTCCCGTTAGGAGAAATTAGCACTAAAGCGCTAATGGATTTTCATGAGGTGTTCTTCATTTTTATTTTTGCTGTAAAAAGTGGAGAACTGTATTTAATATAGGGGAAGTGAGGAAGTGGACTTGACGTGAGCATTTTGTTGCTGTACAGATTCTGCAAGCAGCTAGGTCACAGCCATTGGCTCCCCATATTAAGCTTACCCGCATTCTTTGCTGCCTCTGCAGACTCGGATAACTTGGACGCAGGCATCTCAGATGCTGAGCAGTACCACGCATACTCAGAGCTCACACAGTTGCAGCGTCCGCACAGCAAGGACCATTGGGATGATATGTGCAGCACTACCACACCCTGCTCCCAGACCAGTGAAGAGGAGGCCAAGATGCCTAGCCCCACGAAGAACGAATCTTTCACAAACGGTGAAAAGGCCAAATACGCCCCAGCTGTGGTAAACCTGGTCCCTGATGCCATTGACGTGGACAAACTGGTGACTGATGACAGCCTGTCCTATGCAGGTACGGGTTAACTGGGGCTCCGGTTGGGTAAATTATAGTAAGATAATCTGCTTGGCCTGAATTACATGATTATCTGATAGTCTGCCTCAAAAGTCCTGCCCTGTTTGTTTGGCCGCTGCGGGAAATGGATATGGGATCGTGCCAGCAGGGCCCGGTGCCAAGAGGATTAACCGTTGTTACGCTGAGGTGTTAATTAGACATTCCTGCTGCTTTCCATCTGTGAGAGGCTGATTGAAATATAATTTTAGGCTCAAAAACATTAAGCTTAAGAGAAGGGTTAAGGAGCTTACCGATTCACTGATAGGCCCGAAATCCTGGAAATTGGGTGCCCTCTGACGACGCGGCTCAGTGGTCATTGCCCTACAGCGGTGGTTCTCAAAGGGAGAGGCAGCTAATGCGGCAAGAAGATTCAAGGGCAATCAAAGAAACATTTAAACGTTTCAGTGTAGTAAAGGTAAAGGACCCTAGATGGTTAAGTCCAGTCAAAGGCAACTATGGGGTTGCGGTGCTCATCTCACTTCAGCCGGCGTTTGTCCGCAGACAGCTTTCCGGGTCAATGTGGCCAGCATGGCTCAACCGCTTCTGGCGCAACAGGACACTGTGACGGAAACCAGAGCATACAGAAATGTCATTTACCTTCCCACTGCAGCGGTACCTATTTATCTACTTGCACTGGTGTTGCTTTTTGAACTGCTAGGTTGGCAGGAGATGGGACAGAGCAACAGGAGCTCACCCTGCCGCGCGGATTCAAACCGACGACCTTCTGATCAGCAAGCCCAAGAGGCTCAGAGGTTAGACCACAGCGCCACCTGCTCCCTGTGAAGTTAGGATATACAACCATAAACAGTATCCATGGCTCTTTTCATTGGCTATTCTAACAGTTCTCCATGACATATTGTTGTGAACAGGGATTTTCAACTCGTGGACAAATATGAAAGATCAGAAAACAGAAAGGCTTCTTTGAGTTGATGAGGCGATGAGAGTTTGTTTGTTTTCAAATTAGACCTAATATAAATGAGATTACCAGGCAAAAGCAAGCTCACACCTCCTTTGGGTTTGTATACGTACCTAAGTTACACACCGAATTTTTCGTCCCATAGGACGCACCGCCCCATAAGACGCACCTAGGTTTTTTTTGGGGGGGGGAATAAAGAAAAAAAAATTATTTCCCCCCCAGGCGTGGGGCTGGTGCGGGGGAAGCCCGAGCTTCCCCCAACCCCCAGCCCCCAGAACAGGCTGCTGCCTGCAAGCCTTGCGAGCCCAGCGGGACCTCCCGCCCGGCGCGCAAGGCTTGCGGACACCTTCCTGAAGCACGGGGCGGTCCTCCGGAGGGCGCCCTGTGCTCCGGGCTGCAGGCTGCTGCCGCAAGCCTTGCGAGCCCGCGGGAACTCCCCCGGGCTCGCCAAGGCTTGCGGATAGCTTCCTGAAGCCTGGAGAGCGAGAGGGGTCGGTGCGCACCGATGCCTCTCGCTCTCCAGGATTCAGCGAAAGCCTGCATTCGCCCCATAGGATGCACACACATTTCCCCTTCATTTTTGGAGGGGAAAAAGTGCGTCCTATAGGGCAAAAAATACGGTATGTAAGAGGCTCATTTATCATTATATTTTGGGAATGATTCATGTTCTTATGTAACTGCCTTTGGATGTCCCGTGGTTATATTATAAAGTAGTTGTGTTCTGTGTTCTAAATCAAGCACTGCTAGTTGTTCCATTTTTGTTTTCTGATATATTTCTTATCAATTTTTTTAAAAAGTGGTGTGGTGTGAGCAAATTTTATTCTGGAAGCGTAGCCCAGAGAAGAAAGTTTGAGAAAGGCTGCCCTACAAGGTCCTGTGCTTCAACATTCCTCCAACCTGCAAAGGAAGAGTTTTGCAGCTCAACCACCAATGGAAAGTGTGGGCATGTGGAGGTTGAGTTCTTGAAGAGCACAGTAGGAGAGACAGCCTTGTGTGGCTGATTGGAGCCTATGCATGTGGACTTCTCATTTAAGTCCCTCTGAGTTTAATGGGATTTATGACCCTGTGACCAGGTGAACTCCCGTTGCTCGGTCCCTGCTCCTGCCAACCTAGCAGTTCAAAAGCACGAAGTGCAAGTAAATAAATAGGTACCACTCTGGTGGGAAGGTAAATGGCGTTTCCGTGTGCTGCTCTGGTTCACCAGAAGTGGCTTAGTCATGCTGGCCACATGACCCAGAAAAACTGTCTGTGGACAAATGGCAGCTCCCTCGGCCTGTAAAGTGAGATGAGCGCCACAACCCCAGAGTCATCCACGACTGGACCTAACAGTCAGGGGTACCTTTACCTTTACCTAAATACACATAAGTCTTAAACTACTCTCTGAAAAGGAAATTAATTCAATTACACGATTCCTCTTTTGGAGGCAGTGGGGCAGCTAAGTAATTTTAGACACTGGGCTTAATGGTCTCAGGCAGGAGTCAGCGAACTTTTTCAGCAGGGAGCCAGTCCACTGTCCCTCAGATCTTGTAGGGGGCCGGACTATATTTTAAGGGTGGGAAATGAATGAATTCCTATGCCCCACAAATAATCCAGAGATACATTTTAAATAAAAGCACACATTCTACTCATGTAAAAACACGCTGATTCCAGGACCATCTGCAGGCCTGATTTAGAAGGCGATTGGGCCGGATCCGGCCCCGAGGCCTTAGTTTCCCTACCCCTTTTAGATGGCCATGTATATTGCCTCAGCTGGAAAGCGCACAGTTCACATTTCTCTTCTTCCTCACTCACTGGTCTTTCATGCTTTCTAACTGTTTCTGTTGCTTCCTCAAACCTGATTTTTAAAAAAAGAAATATGTGCAATTCTGCATTTTACTTGCTTCAATCATAGCACTGTCACGACTGCAGGAATAAAATGGTGTTTGCTTCTGAGGCTAAACACACTAACTAGGGAATAAGTTCCACTGGTCTATTTTTAAAGTAAAAATATTTGTTTAGTGTGATTGTGCCACCTCAGATGCTGGTGTGAGGCCTGCTTACCACTGTTTCCATCATCACTGTTGTCTGGGCAGTCATTCCCACTTTGACCCCGACTGTTACCTTCACTAAATAATAATAATAATAATAATAATAATAATTATTATTATTATTATTATTATTATTATTATTATTATTAATACCCCGCCCATCTGGCTGAGTTTCCCCAGCCACTCTGGGCAGCTCCCAATCAAGTATTAAAAACAATACAGCGTTAAATATTAAAAACTTCCCTGAACAGGGCTGCCTACAGATGTCTTTTAAAGATAGGATAGCTACTTATTTCCTTCACATCTGAAGGGAGGGTGTTCCACAGGGTGGGCGCCACTACCGAGAAGGCCCTCTGTCTGGTTCCCTGTAACCTCACTTCTCACAATGAGGGAACCGCTCGACCTCAGTGTCTGGGCTGAACGATGGGGGTGGAGACGCTCCTTCAGGTATACAGGACCGAGGCCGTTTAGGGCTTTAAAGGTCAGCACCAACACTTTGAATTGTGCTCGGAAACGTACTGGGATAAATAAATATAAATTCTCTTTGCCAGGTTCATACCAATAGGACACTGTCTTGATTTTACAATAACGTTTTATAATGTGCAATGCATGGTGTTACTGCTTCTGTCTGTTTTACGGTATCTTTGTGCTTTAGCTTGTAAGTTGCTTTAAAAAAAATTAAACAAATAAATTTAATAAACAGTAATAATAATTATTATTATCAGGTGTTATAATGGTAGTTGGCTGAAAACCCCAGCTGACTAAGACAGGCGCTTATTTCATCCATCTCCTTTTCTGTCCCTCAGCGACGCCATTGGATGTTTCCAACCTGTTCACATTCTGGGAGGACAAGAGGCCTAATTCCCTTACGGAGCCTCTCCAGCACATGTCCTTGGTTCACAGCCCTTTGGACATGCCTCCCAACTCTGATGACAGACCGCGGCAGATTGAATCCAAGCTGGAGTGCCTGCAGGCACAGCTCGGCAGGTAAACGCCATTGCTCGGAGGTTCCAATAGGGCATGAATTCTATGAAGAACCCCAAGTTGCAGGAACTTAAATAAAACTGCAAGGTAGATGGTGTGTTCCAACCTCCTATCTAAAACCAATTACAGTCATACCTCTGGTTACAGACGCTTCAGGTTGCGCGTTTTTGGGTTATTGATGCGCTGAAACCCGGAAGTACCAGAACGGGTTACTTCCGGGTTTCGGCGCTCGTGCAGACGCAGCACTCCGGGTTGCGAACGTGCCTCCCGCACAGATCACATTCGCAGCCCGAGTGTCCACTGTACCACAGTGTTCATGAGACCAGGGTCCTGCAGGATCCGATTTCTTTCTGCAGGGCCTGTAAGACAGAGTTGTTCCGCCTGGCCTTTGGCTTGGAGCCAATTTGATTCCCTCCCCCTCTTTCTTTTTTCTTTTCCTTTCTCCTCCTGCGATGAGACTACATTTTAACATTTAATGTTTCAATATTTTAATGTTGTATTTTAATTTTGTTTTTAAGTTGTATTCATTCAACTTATTTTTATTATTGCTTGTTAGCCGCCCTGAGCCTGGTCTTGGCTGGGGAGGGCGGGGTATAAATAAAAATTATTATTATTATTATTATTATTATTATTATTATTATTATTATTATTTTATTATTATTATTATTATTACCTGTTCCTAAAGCATCCGTGATACAGTCACCTGTACTCATAGATCTACAGTGGTGCCCCGCAAGACGAATGCCTCGCAAGACGAAAAACTCGCTAGACGAAAGGGTTTTCCGTTTTTTGAGTCGTTCCGCAAGACGAATTTCCCTATGGGCTTGCTTCGCAAGACGAAACGTCTTGCAAGTTCTTGCGAGTTTGTTTCCTTTTTCTTAAAGCCGCTAAGCCGTTAATAGCCGCTAAGCCGTTAATAGCCGCTAATAGCCGCTAAGCCGCTAATAGCCGTGCTTCGCAAGACGAAAAAACCGCAAGACGAAGAGACTCGCGGAACGGATTAATTTCGTCTTGCGAGGCACCACTGTACACTGACTGCCAATCTGCTACCGGGCCACATTCAAAGTGTTAGTACATAAAGCCCTTGACAACTTGGGTCCAGGTGCAACAGAATACTCATTCTACATTTTTAAGAACTTGATCGTTTAGTGTGGCAGTGCCTCCTGCACTTTGGAACTCCCTGCTTATTGAGATCAAGCAGGCACTTGCATTGCACTTTGTTCAGCACCTTGTAAAAATATTTTAGTCTTTTAACTTTTGTATGTTTTAAAGTAGGGTTGTGGATTTTTCTAGATTTTACCCTTTTATCTTTTGCAGACCGCTTTAAATTTTATTTTTATTTTATTTTTTACAATCCAGCAGTACAGTGGTACCTCTACTTACATTCACCTCTGGATATGTATCCTTCGGGATATGTGCACGGCAAACCCAGAAGTATTTTTCCAGGTTTTGCCGTGCGCCATGCGCAGAAGCCGCACCTCCGGATACAAACATCTTGGGATCCAACGGGAGCTCCGGAATGGACCCTGTGCACAACCGGAGGTGCCACTGTATATAAATTATATCAAATGAATAAAATTAACTTTTTCTTGCAAACTTCAAAGGCAGGGACGTTTCCTTACATATCTTACTCTGTTTCTGAGTCACTTATTCTGAATCGCAGTCATGGCTTTCCCCAGAAGATCCTGGGAAGTATAGTTTGTTAGCTATATATAGCACATGAGTTTGTGAACTGCAGCTGCGAGGGGTTTTCGAATCAGGGAAGTGCACTTTGCTGCTTCAGAATAATAATAATAATATAATAATAATAATTTATTATTTATACCCTGCCCATCTGCCTGAGTTTCCCCAGCCACTCTGGGCGGCTTCCAACCAAGTGTTAAAAACTATACAGCATTAAATATTAAAAACTTCCCTAAACAGGGCTGCCTTCAGATGTCTTTTAAAAAGAAGATAGCTGAATATTTCCTTCACATCTGAAGGGAGGGCATTCCACAGGGTGGGCGCCACTACCGAGAAGGCCCTCTGTCTGGTTCCCTGTAACCTCACTTCTCGCAATGAGGGAACCGCCAGAAGGCCCTCGGTGCTGGATCTCAGAAAGGCTACATGTTTCTGGCACCCATGTTATATGCTACTCATCCAAGCTGACTCTACTTATATGAACAGTATGTGGCCCAAGTTACTGGACGAACCAGCTTCTGGTAATCTGAAATAAAACCCTTTTTTTAAAAAATAGCCCTCGGTGTTGCACAGATTCACCCTGCTGGTTATGTCAGGGACTAACACCTTGCTCAAACTAGACTTAGGCAGTCTTTGGGATAGTCTCGCACACACCTTCCCCGCTCGCTCAGTGTGCTTCAGGCTAAAATGTCATGATCTCTCTTGTAGGCTGGAGTCCAGGATGTCTTCTGACCTGAACCTCATCCTGCAGCTGCTGCAGCGACAGCTGTCTCAAGTGCCACCTGCGTATAGCACTATCTCGCCATCCTCCCACAACCTGGCTTTGTATAGCATGAGCATGAGGAGCACAGAACCCGAAACTCCGCTAGGGGAAGAGGAACTGACTCCCACAAAGGAGGTGAGTTGCAGGAATCAAAGTCCTTCATTTGCAGTGAGGCTGGTGAGAGAAAGCGCCTGGCTTCAAAGCCAGGCCGGAAAAGTACAGTGGTACCTTACAGGCGCTTCAGGTTACAGACTCCGCTAACCCAGAAAGAGTACCTCGGGTACTCTTGTGAAACTTTGCTTCAGGATGAGAACAGAAATCGCGCAGCAGTGGGAGGCCCCATTAGCTAAAGTGGTACCTCAGGTTAAGAACGGTTTTAGGTTAAGAACGGACCTCCAGAACGAATTAAGTACGTAACCAGAGGTACCTCTGTATTTGGGGGTACATCACGGGGGATGGAAGGACCAAGCTAGTACAGCAATGGAACTAAGGGACTACATCAGGGGTCGGCAAACTATGGCTCAGGGTCCGGATGCGGCCCACCAGGCTCGTAAATCCGGCCCGTGGACCCTGCCGCCCGCTTGGTCAGTCCCCAAGCTAAACCAGTACAGCACAGAGGCCTCAGCATGTGGGGACTGACTTCTGCGGTGCTAGCACAGCTTTGGATTAGCTGGAGGAAGCCACAAGGTCTGAGGGACAGTGGACCAGCCCCTTCCCCCTGAAAAAGTTTGCAGACCCCTGGACTACATATACTGCAGCAAAGAACTTTAAATTCTGTAGGGGGGGTGGGACTTGTGGAAAAGTAGGCATGTGTGTTCAGTTATCTACAGAAAACAGAGACAAATGTTGTACCGTGCTCTTCAAAATATACACCTTGCTGTGTAAACAAGGAGATCTGATAGAATAGTGAAAGTTTTGTATTGAACTTGCCTCCTTGTTACTAAGCAGGTAGTGTTTCTTGGGTACCGTGCTTCTATGCATATTTCTGCAGTCAAGAGTAAGGGTGAAAAGATCTGTCAGTTTCGGGTCTCAGAGTTTCTCATTTTTCCAATCTTAAATTCAGATTACCACATTTCTGCGGCAATTTGCGAAACACCCTCCCCCCCAAATAATTCTCATGGAAATTCTTAAGCATTTCAGTGCAAATGTCTCTCATTTTTGTATGCAGTTTTTAAAGTAATGTGCACATTTTGCAAGCAGTATCTCCTAATACATTTTGTACATAATTCTCACAAATATATGCATTTTAAGGCACATTTTCCTCTAATATATGCATTTCTGTTGAAACCAGATGGGAAAACTGCATTGGAATAAGTTGGATGAGTGTGAACTTTTAAGGGTGGCGATATATTTTGGTTCTCATATTGTTTTGGAAAGTCAGTGTTTGATAAATTTGTCTCTAAATGTGAACTGAATCCACTTTCTCCCCCCTTCCCAAGCCACTCATGAGGCGTGTAACCCCCCCCCCTTTTTTCCCCCAACTGCAACTTGAAATTCTCAGATTCCTACAGGGGGACTTTGAGCCAACCCAAACACATGCCACTCGCTGGTGAAGGAGTTTTAACTTTGTTCCCTTTCCCCTCCCTCACCAGACTCCGAGCGACTCAGAAATCGAGAAGCTGCAGCTGAAATCCAGGGACTCGTTGTCGAGTGGTGTGCACCTGACTGTGGCTTCTGACGAGACCATGACAATCAGCTCTGAGCAAGAGCATTGCTCACAGACCCTGCCAAACCTAGAGCCTCACCGGAGGGCACCGGGCAACCAGGGACTTTCCCAAGGATCCCGTTTCCCTTCCCTTCCTGAGCACCTTGAGGCACCTTCTGAGCACTTGGACATTCAGAGACACCTCTCTGACCCTTTGCTTCCTGGGAGTTAAGAATCCAGTTGAGCCCAAAGCCAAGTCAAGAGGACCCTGAACTGAGAAGTTGCTTTAGCTGTTTTTACTTGTTGCACTTGGAGGACAGTACTCATGGCTCAAGGTGATGGGACTTGTTGCCGTTCCCTGTCCTCTCTGAAACGGGGGCAGTTTAATAGTGGGTTGGCTTCCAAGGTGATTGATTTCAGAAATGGTACTCCATAGAGTAGACTTCAGGTGCACATTTCTCTTACCCCACCCGACCCCAAGAAGAATGGCTGGTTGACTTTTTCCTCCACGTCCCCAATCTTGCATCTGTTAACTGTTGGGGTCTGCCTCTGTCAGTGTTTGAATGGGAACTAGTATGGCGGGACACTGGAGCACTTCCATAATGTAATAAAGTAATAATAGGAAATTTTGTCTGGAGGAAGACGAGGAGACTGCTAAGAACTTAACCTTCTCTTGGGTTGTAGGAGACCAAGAATGATTGTGTCTTTCTTTGATACTTACAACTCGTGTCTGAAGATTCTAGTCATTGTGCAGGAGGAGCCTGTGAAGTAAGGAAGGAAGAGTAAAACGATGCTGCAACTTTGTACATGGGGATATAACGAACCATTTAATGATCTGCCTAGTGCATATTGAGGGCAACTTCATATATTACATTTTTCATATATTACATTTTTGCATGGACATAAATCTCTGTTGAGAAAAAGAAGAGAGTGTACACCTTGACAGATGAAGTGCAGGATAAAAGGGGAAAATGTGTAGCACAATTTCATACGGGGCTGCCAACAAGATTTTGGGCTTGCTGTTTGTACTCAGGCTCGCTTCTGAAGGATGCAGTCCCTGGCCTTCTGACAGCCCCTCTGAGCCCTGCCCCAAATTCTACAGCCAACCCCAACATATTAATATGTTGTCTGTAGCCCTGATTGTATTTGTTTACTCAGAGCTATGTTTTGCAGAGTCTGGTGGGGCTTACTCCCAGAAAAGCATGCATACAACTGCATCTTCATTGTATGAAATGAGCTGGTAAAGTCAGGTGTAGAATCCCTAGCGCAACGCAACAAACACATTTGGGTCTGTGTTAACGGGGTGACTTGTCTCATGTGTTGCCTACCAATTTGCAAAGGAGGGCGGAGTGACACTATTCTAACAAACTGGGGTGGAGGGAACCTGTTCTGAAAATATATTTCCCAGACTTTTGCAACATTCCAGATTTACCTGGCGTTGGAAAACATTCCAGGAACAGCCAGTTTTGTGGTTAGCACATCAACTTAGCGTAAAAGGTTATTCTGGACAGTACCTTGCCGTTCTTTGCGCCAGCCACTATGCAAAATGCAAGTGTGCAAGTGAGCTGTAATTTTTTTTTGTACAGATCTGCAAGGCTGGTTTAAGCACAACTTCAGAAAAGCCTGGAAAGAAGGAAACAAACCAAACAGATCACTTTTTGTATGTGTGTATTCGCCTTTCCCAATTGAATCCCCATGCCATAGCATTGCATAGAATCATTGTAACTGACCCCTCAAACCCACCTCATTTTCACCCCTCAGTTAGATGCTGCAATGGCCCTAGGCCACCTATCCAAAATAACATATTAATCTCCCAGTGAGAGTAGCAGGAAAAATAATAATAACTGTGAGCATTTTCTCTTTTTTTCTTTCTCAGGAGTGTTAGTGTACACTTTGTTAATAAAGATTATTTTGACACCTACTCTGGCCTGATGGCTCCCTACGTCTGGGCTCTGTGGGTGGGGGGCAAACACTGAGAAGGGTTGGTGTTTTTTCTTAAGAGAAGGGGAAGACAAAAGCAGAATCATGCCCTGTAGTTTCCTGCTGAAATCCTGTAGTTTTTCACACCACAAACGTCCCAGGTTGGTGGTTTTGTCTTATTTTTGTTGTGCTCCAGTATAAATCCACCACTGATGCGCTGTTATTGCGTCAGTGACATGCCGCAGAACACAACCATTAAAAACCCTGGAGCATGATGCTTCTGCAAGTGGTGGGCTTTGGTTCAGACAATTTAAATACAGTGGTGCCTTGGTTTTCAAACGTAATCCGTTCCGGAAGACCGTTCCAAGTTCTGAAACGTTCGAAAACCAAAAACTCAATACGGAAAACTCAATACAGAAGCCGTGTGGCATGTTCAACGTCCGAGGCATGTTCAAAAACCGAAGCATTTACGGCGTTCAAAAGCCAAAATGTTCATCAATGGAGACATTCAAAAACCGAGGTACCACTGTAGTTTTACTTTTATTGTGAAACATATATACCTATATAATCCCAGACCAAGCCAACTAAAACACAAAGTGTTTATAACAGAAAGCGTTTTAACTTTTTCTGCAGGATTTTAAAACACTGTTAACCATTAAGGCTCAAACCACAGGTGTGTGGTGATGATGATAATGCTGATGATAATATTAATAATGATTTATAATTTATACCCTCCCCAATCTGGCTGGGCTTCCCCAGCCACTCTAGGCAGCTCCCAATAGAATATTAAAGGTAAAGGGACCCCTGACTGTTAGGTCCAGTCACAGACGAATGTGGGGTTGCGGCGCTCATCTCGCTTTATTGGCCAAGGGAGCTGCCGTACAGCTTCCGGGTCATGTGGCCAGCATGACTAAGCCGCTTCTGGTGAACCAGAGCAGCGCACGGAAACGCTGTTTACCTTCCCGCCGGAGTGGTGCCTATTTATCTACTTGCACTTTGACGTGCTTTCGAACTGCTAGGTTGGCAGGAGCAGGGACTGAGCAATGGGAGCTCACCCCGTCATGGGGATTCGAACTGCCAACCTTCTGATCGGCAAGCCCTAGGCTCTGTGGTTTAGACCACCGGCGTCCCAAATAGAATATTAAAAACACAATGAAACATCAACATGATAAAACATGTTGGGAGGTGGGGTACAGTATCTGAGCGGGGGGAAGGGCTATAGGTTTGATAGCAGTAGTGCTGAGAAAGGGGGTGATTAACATTTTCCAGATGGACCATTTTTATGGATTTACAGCTATTTCTTTCAGAAGTGGAAAGCAGAGATCCCATAGCAGATGGAGAGGTAAAGGCTGCAATCAGCTATTCAATACTCTTCCTAAACTAAGGTTTTCAGATGTCCCCGTTTCCTGGGGACAGTCCCTGGATTTACAAATCAGTCCCCATACAAAATCAATTGAAATTGAAAAGTGTCCCTGGATTAATTGAAAAAAATCTGGTAACTATCCTAAACATCATTTCACATTTAAAAAAAAAAATCAATCAAGAGACTAAATAATACTACTGAACTATACTTGTCAGTCCCAGACCCTACTTCTAACTTGCAAAATTAATAGTGGATCGCATTTTAGTGCTGTCATAAATCACTCCTAGCCTCAGTTTGCAATGTGGGGACAAGGGCTGTTGCAACATTGCAGAGCTATTGTTAAGACTCTTTTCTCAGTCATAGCCGCCTAAACAGCAGTATGCGGACAATGAGCTGCATTGGTATTTACATATGCAAAACACTTTTTTAAAAAAGATATTTAAAAACTCGGAGAATTATCAAATAAAAACTCAATTTTCCACAAAAAACGAGGCATTACTTAGGGACAGCACTGAACTTCCACCTTTGAGGCTACTTTTTGTTTTTGCCGAATAGGCTCCTGCTCAATCAAAGTATATAAAACCCCTAGATTCTGCATTTCTTCATATGGGCAGCTGGGGAAACAAAAACGACGCCGAAAGAACCCGCAAGCTCCCATTCCAGACACCCGAGATGCGACTCTACATTTTCCACGTCTACTGCTTTTCTCCCGATCTGGCTGCTGCTAAACCGTCCCCTCGCACAGGCTGAAATTTTTGCCGGAGAGGCGGGCTTAGGAAAAGAGCGACACCTCTCCTCGCTAATGGCCAACTTTCATCGTGGCCAGTACGGGGCGGGGAAAGAAATCTCATTGGGCCGCGGGGCTTGGAATGGAGGAGGGTGTTTGAGCGAGCCGACGCTTACGGGAAGCCAATGAGGAGCGAGCAGCCGGCGGAGTGGCGTCGCGGACAGCCAACGAGAGCCCGGAGTTTGAATCGACCCCCGATGGAGGAGCGGGGTGGGGGCGGCTTCGCCGTAGTCGTTTGTGTGAGGTGAAGAACGACGGTCGGCGGGGGGAGGTCGCTGGTTGCCGTGAGGGGCTGACGGAGCGAGCCTCGCCCGCCATGTCGCTGCACGGGAAGCGCAAGGAGATCTACAAGTACGAGGCGCCATGGACCGTCTACGCCATGAACTGGAGCGTCAGGCCCGACAAGCGCTTCAGGCTGGCGCTCGGCAGCTTCGTGGAGGAATACAACAACAAGGTGGGCGGGTGAGCGGGGTCCGGCGGGCGAGGAGGCCTCGTCAGCCCGGGGGTGGTCGGGGGTTCGGGGCCGCCTCGGGCCTTGGCGCCTCAGTCGGACCCCGGCGGCCCTTCCCTGCTCCGCCGCAGGCTTGCGAAGAGGCCAAGAGCCGCCTGGGGCAGTTGCCCGCGCCCGGCCTCCCTCGCAGGCTTGGCCGCGCTCTCCGTTGCCAAGCGCCGGCTGAGGTAACTCAGGAGGGGGTTTGGTTGACCCCCGAAGGTGTTGCGCGGCGGAGCAGCACCTGCGCGCCTTCTGCTTCACCTGCAGATGTTTCGAGGAAGGTATAGGGCGGCCTTGGGGTCCCCGAAGTTATTGGGGATGGGGGGGGGAGTTGGGCCTCAGGGTCCCTTCTGGCTCTGCTCTTCCAGTGCAGGCATAAGCAAACTCGGCCCTCCAGATGTTTTGGGACTACAGCTCCCATCATCCCTAGCTAACAGGACCAGTGGTCAGGGATGGTGGGAGTTGTAGTCCCAAAACTGTAGCTCAAGAGCACAGAACCCTAGAACAGGCATAGGCAAACTCGGCGCTCCAGCTGTTTTGAGACTACAACTCCTATCACCCCTACCTAACAGGATCAGTGGTCAGGGATGATGGGAATTGTAGTCCCAAAACAGCTGGAGGGCCGAGTTTGCCCATGCCTGTTCTAGGGTTCTCTGTTCTTGAGCTACAGTTCCCCCCCATCCCTGACTACTGGCCATGCTGGCTAAAGAGAGCGAAAGTTGCAGCCCAGCAGCATCGAGGGACACCAAGGTTCATAGATATAATTCATAGGAGAGTTGGAAAGGGGCCCTGTGAGGGTCATCTAGTCCCGCCCCTGCATTGCAGCAATATGCAGCTGTCCTGTAGTGTAGGGGATCGAACCTGCAAACTCCATGCACACTCTAACCCACTGTGAAAGGCTTGGTGTAGGGACTCTGACCATTTGGGGAGGTGGGTGGATTTGGGGGCGGGGAAGAGAATAGGCTAGGCCACCTGCATCTCGATAGTGGTAGAAGTTGGCTATTTTATTTTTGCCCTCGAGGAGAAAAAGCCCAAGGCAGGTATGGACACTCCCGAATTATTGTTGTTTATTGAATTTGTCGGGGGGACGACGACGACACTTTATCTTGCTCAAAGCAACTTTGTTGTCGTTTAGTCGTGTCCGACTCTTCGTGACCCCATGGACCAGAGCACGCCAGGCACTTCTGTCTTCCACTGCCTCCCGCAGTTTGGTCAAACTCATGCTGGTAGCTTCGAGAAAGCAACTTGCACCCCCCCAAAAAAAAAAGACCAAAAAAAAAAAACAGCAACAACCCTTTCCACAGAGATACATTACAACCAAGGGGGGAATTCATATGTTTAAAACATCCCACCCCCTTCTTACAGTTAAAGGCGAAATGTCTGGTTATAGAGGAAAGCTTTTGCCTGACACCTAAAGATAGGTAATGAATATGCCAGGGAGAGCATTCCATTAGCGGGGAGCCACTGCAGAAAAGGCCCGTTCTCATGTTTCCACCCTTTCGGCCTCTCATGGAGGAGGCACACAAAGAAGGGCCTCAGATGATGACCGTATGTTCCCTGTAGGTTCATACAGGGCGAGGTGGTCCTTGTAGCAGAGTATGAAAGGTTGGGCATCTGTGGCCCTCCAGATATTTCTGAACTGCAACTCTGAATCATCCTTGACCATGCAGGCTGGGGCTGATGAGACTTGTAGTCTAATAACTTCTAGAGGCCATCAGTTCTCTACCCTGAGCTTAATGTTATAGTTTGTTTGTTTGATAGCTTGCTTGAAATATTTTTTCTTATAGGTCCAACTTGTGGGGTTGGATGAGGAAAGCTCTGAGTTCATTTGCCGGAATACCTTTGATCACCCATATCCTACTACCAAGCTCATGTGGATCCCAGATACCAAAGGGGTATATCCAGACCTTTTGGCAACAAGTGGTGACTACTTGCGTGTCTGGAGAGTAAGTTGACTTGTTTTTAGAAGGTGTTTTCCTGGGGCTAGGATAACCAGTGGGCCCTGAGAATGTTGTGTGAGTAGTCTGACCAACTGCTATAAGTAGTAGACAAACATAGTACTTGGTATGCGTTGTTCTATTTGTAAATGTTTATTAAGAACTTCTAAATTCAGTGTTCTACAACTGGAGCTGTAGTCTACTCTAATGTATTATGTAGATGGGCAGAAAATAAATTGGGATCTAGTGGTAAATTGCTGGGTGATTTGCTGTAGATTGGCAAAAGTGTCTGACTCAGTTGTTTTAAAAATAGCAAAGCCCATGAGACTTTCTCTCTTCTCTTTGCCTTATCCTACCCCAGACCTAAATTAGACTGCTGGAATTAAGAAAACTGAGGAGGGAAGCCTTATTGTAGTATTAT